ATTTTTCGTCGCACGTTCAACAAACTTACCAAAAAATGTCCATTCTTGTGGCGTCAAAAGCAATGATCAACCGTAAATCTCAAGAGTTTGTTAGTGTCAGTCAGTATATGTGGAATCCATTAACTCAGTTTCCATTTTTTTAAGTAATGAAATGCAAATAAATAATGATTGGTTTCGTCATTTATATGGGCATTTTTTATGAGCGCTTGGCTTTGTTGAAGTGATAAGACCATACAAACTTACCTAGTTACCAGATACGTTACTCTTATCTAGGTATAACTGGGCACGGTTCGTTTTTTTTTCCTGACACGAAGTAAGAATTGAGTTGAAGCGCTAGCAAACCAATAATATTGTTTTCGGGGGCCACCTACGGTTATCACATGCTTCTACCGCGGCAGTGACGTCAACACTGATAAAAAAAATTTTTTTTTAAACTACGTGCACATTTGCTACCGATCTTGTAACTCAAAAACGAAATCATGGACCTCCCACTTTTATTACATTTATAATTTCCTCGTGTCTTATTATGTTAGATGACAAAGCTTAATTAAAATCGACCGATTAAATTTTGAAAACGAACTTAATTCTATAAGCCACATAGAAGAAACTTCGCTAACGCTCCACTTCAATAAAGAACTATTTCGTAAAATTTGTAGTATGCTAAGACAGCTATTTATAATATCGTTACTGCAAACCAATGCCCAATTGTTAGACTGGTATAATTCATAAATATTCTAAATGACAATATTTTTTATTGATAAAAATGACAGACTACAAATTTCTGGTCCGTTCTGAATGTAATATTTGAAATAAGGTTTGATAATTTATTTATATTAGATATAATTCTGAAATCTTATTTTGGAATTAACTCAGCTAATCTATTAAGGTAATAAAGATAATCTATTAATGTATTTCCTTTGGAATAACCTATTAAGTTCGTTTCTCTCAGTTCTAATTGTCATTGAATGATTTGAATAATTCAAAATGCTTTCCACAGAGTTAATAATAAAGTTAATGAAATAATTTTTATGCAATAGCATAGTAGTGATTACTGTTATTATTACAAACAATATAATTGGGTTATCATATAATCGAATGAACTCTAAATATCGTCCAAACGCTCTGACTAGAGCTTGTTTTACGCTGTATGACGAAACACAAATGAAATAGACTTTTAATCAGCAACAAAAAATCTCTACTACATTAAGGTCAAACAAATGTTATCATCCGATAATCAGATTTTTATAAAAGCAAAAGTATTATAATGAATATAGTATGAATAAAAACTTGAATAAAACTATCGTACTATATTTCTAATTACAAATAAACTTATCATAAATATATCCATTACTTATTGGTTCTCAAATACTGCAATTAATCTTTTCAAATCAGGCATCTAAACAGGTCACGAACGTTTAAACTTTAAAGAAAGTTCAACTGATCATAATGAACACCAAAGCCAATTATAACAGATATAAATATCTCGTATTAAAGATCGGCAATAATTAATACTAAACAAACATTGCCAACCTTTAATAAAGCTCTATAATCAAAACGAGGTAATTTACATGAAAAATATAATGTCGAATTGCATCCCGAAGTTGGTTTCATCTTGATTCATTGACATTGATTTTTTTTATTTGATTCCTCCTCTGCTATGTTTTTCCCACGTTTATATAAGATAACTGTATATTGGAGCATCGTATTTTTAAACAAAATTATCATTTCCAATAATTTTTAAATTTAAACCCTGCCTTAAAATTTTAAAACACTTTAAAATTAATTAATTAAGTTTGACGTGTAAAAAAAATNGAAAAACATTGCAATTGAAACCGTAAAATAAACTCCACATTCTCTTTGACCGAATAAAAATTGTATTCTGAATGCGATTTGTTTAATGAATGGAAACTCGTTAAATTAACAGAAAATCGAACCCATTTTCTTTCAGCCACAACCAATAGCAATACAGTACTAACTCATTTCCAATAATTTTTAAATTTAAACCCTGCCTTAAAATTTTAAAACACACTTTAAAATTAATTAATTAAGTTTGACGTGAAAAAAAAATAATAATAATAAATACGTTCTTTCTATGGTACACAGAATTAAATATACCATTTTTCTGTTATGAGTTAAAAAGGAGCAGGTTTGAGCAATAGATAGGAATCAGAATTTTTCGTATTTTTCTGGAGCACTAAATGATATCCAAATAAAATGTATAAACTTCTTTTAAAAAATCGATTTGGCTCCGGGTAATAATAGACTAAAATTAGAGAAAACCAAGGTTTTGGCATTGTAACAGAAACTAAATCCAAATACTTAACAATGGTAGAATTGAAATTATTTAATTGTTTACTATAAAAACTAGTTATTACTGTATTAATAATAAAAACGGCTTTAAATGATTACGCAATAGAATAATTCAAATAATTTTATTAAGGTAAAAATATATAAATAAAAAAAAGTAAAATAGAATCAGAAATTTAGAAATCTAATCAAATAGTTAAATTCTAAGATTTTTATTTATGATTTACAAAATAAAATTACATAAATATGTAACGAACGGTGGTAATGAAAAAAAAAAGCAATTGATGCTCCATTATTAATTTAATCGAATTATTTTTCTAAAGTATTCTATTGAATATGTAGAAAATTATTCAAACCATTGAACTTCAAACAACACTCGTCTAAATTAAAACTACTTTGAAATGTTTAAAAAAAAAAAAAAACTTTGGCAGAATTTAACAACAGAAATCTTGAACGAAATTATTGGTACTGTCCTATATACTGACACCGAATTATGTCAAGTCTGACTATTTAAGCTTTAAAGTTTCGAATATTCTTATTTACTTTTACTTATAGAGAAGTTAGTCTTAAAAAATTANTTATTGGTACTGTCCTATATACTGACACCGAATTATGTCAAGTCTGACTATTTAAGCTTTAAAGTTTCGAATATTCTTATTTACTTTTACTTATAGAGAAGTTAGTCTTAAAAAATTATTCAACACAAATCAAAGTATTTAGTTGTTTTTAAGATTTATGAACTTTACATTTTCTAATCCTGTTTGCCATAATTATCACAATTAGTACTAATTTGCATTGAAAACATTAATGCTTAATAATTCATTTAAAACAAAGTGAATCGAAAAATTATCAGTCAATTCAGGTCAATTTGCTTATATAAACTGTTTTATAACAACACTTCACAAATCAAAGAATCCGAACGAACATTTACAGTTAGCAAGATGAAAAAGCTGATAACTACTAGTTTAGTAAATGCTCACTTGATTGATTGATTTAATCATCTGTGTGGATAAACGTAATAAACAAAATTATGTAACAATATATTACGACTCATATTTTTATAGATCAAATTAAATTATATGCAAGAAAAAATACATTGAAGTTCCAAATTTACAAACAGAACGTATCAAAATATTAGTTAACTAAATACTGTTGTAAATTACAACATATTGCAGATAATTAGTGTGATAATCAAAAAAGTGAATAAAACATTTTAAAACTGAAAACCAATTAATATTGAGCATACAAAAAAATTCATAGTTAAACATTAAATTGCCAAATCGCAAAAATTTATTACTTTCTGTATGTATATGTATACATATCCATAGAGAGACACACAATTTATATAAATATATTAATATATTTATAAATTCTGTGCGTCTTTGTTATGTATCATGTAATATGAAAACAGATTTTTCTTGACACGTCTTTAATTCATAGTACAAATAAAATTTCAGTTATGAAAATAAATTAAGTTTACACATTTTTATGAACTGTTCAAGAATACAGAATATATTGATAATAATACTATCCTTTTCTACGTCAATATCTTTGCTGTTGGCGTTTAAATTATACGTGACAGATATTCTAGTGCAAAAATAAAATTGCTGTGTCGGTTTTCAACCTTCTTAAAAAATTGATTTTGTCACTTCGACTTTTTTAACCAACAATCTTTCTAAACATACCCTTAGAGATCTCATTAGAAGGTTGGGTTGTTATTCTTCGTATTTTTAAGCATTTAAAATAATTTAACTTATAATACTATTATTCGACCTTAATCAACTAAATCATTAATTATTAAAAGTAATATTTTACAATTAAATATTGTGATATATTTTCACTTGTTTCAATATATACAGTACCTTTTAAAAGAGCAAGCAGCTTTATGCATTCGAGAAAAGTTTTGCAAGAAAAACATTGCAATTGAAACCGTAAAATAAACTCCACATTCTCTTTGACCGAATAAAAATTGTATTCTGAATGTGACTTGTTTAATGAATGGAAACTCGTTAAATTAACAGAAAATCGAACCCATTTTCTTTCAGCCACAACCAATAGCAATACTAACTTTAATTTTACAATGCAAATATTAATCTGACGCTCGAAAAAATGAACAAATTCTTTAAATTGGAATGAATACGTTTGCTTGTTTTTTTAATATATTCATATAAATTATATATTTAAAAAAAACAAAAGTTCAATGATCTTCAATTTATATTTAAAAAAAAACATTAATGAATTTTTATCTATTTTTAGGCACAGTATTTATTGTTTTTTTCTTAAAAATATATATATTTAAAATTTGAACTACGTTTTCAATTATTTAATACTTAAATATAATATTTTTCTATTGTTTTTAATTAAAATAAACCGATTAAATGTGTTTTAAAATATTGAAATGGAATTTAGATTAAAAAGTTTTCACATAATTTCTTTTTTATGAATAATTTTAAGCTATCAATTTCTATATTTAAATGAAATGTACATTTTATAATTAAACAGCGTGCAATCGAATTATGACAGATTTAAAATGATTAATTAAAGGCTAATGAAATAAATAAATGAAAAAATAATTACTAATCACAAAATAAACGGCAAATTTATCAATGATTATTATTATTAAGAGATGATATTAATAATAATTTTTTATTATCCTAATGGTTCGAAGGAGTGATGTTAAGAAAGTGATTTACCCTGATTTGGCTGAAGACGTGTGAACTTGGCTGGCCTGATTGTCTCTAATTGAAGAAGACAATAAGTTATAATTTCGATTGACAGAAGTATCCGATTGAAGATTTTCATCATCTTTATACGAATCCGAAGTCCAAGCAAACCGACGTTTCTCGCCACAGGAAAGACAAGACGATCGCTCAGTGGGATTAATCGACGTACAGTTTTTGCAATGCCACTGAAGTACCGATGCGTTCGAACCCATTTTTCACATTCTTTTCTTTTTTAAATTACGCAATATTCATTGCCCTATAAACAGTTACGTACTGTAACGGTGCTTCCGTGCAAATTATGGCCGTCAGGCAGGTTTGCCCTCCATGTTGGATGTAGCCTTGTTGTTATCGCGCATGTGCTTAACAACGCAAGCAATGACCTCTCGTTCGACTCCGCGTAACTCTACACACACAACACGCGTCCATCCATTTTCGATGATAGGTCATTTACGTTAAAAAATTATTTTTTAATAATGTATTTTTATCTTTAAAAATTAATTATAATATATTTATTTATTTATTTGTCAACTGTATGCATATGCTGATAGTTTTATTAAGGGTATCAAACACGTTTTTTGTGATTGGTTCGTTTTCTTCTGTTCTAACTAATAGCAACGATTGTAATAAGATTTGTTTTTTTTGTCAAAGCATTGATTGATTTTCTCCAAATAATTGATTAATTATCTTATTAATAATTTATTATTTGTCATCATTACATAGAATATATTTAAAAGTCGCAATTACATGGACAAAATGAGACCAGATTTATTTTTGTTGCTTACGAAGTTGTTATACTCGGTTGATGATTAAAATGAATGTTTACTTGTAATTTAATAAATTAATATCAAAGTTTTACATTAAATACACTGAAATGTGATCCTTATATCTGAAGAATTCTAATTATACTAAACTACTAACTAATCTGAAACTAATTCAAGACTCAATGATATATGTCAATGACAATGATATCAATATATGTAAAAAAAACTAATTAAGTAGCATAAAAATGTAATAAAATTACTAATTAGTTACCTTTTGATTAATTAAATAGCAATATTATGCATTAAAAATTTAAAATTATAAATAATGGCATTTCCACTATAAAAAGTGTACATATTAAATCAAAAAAAGGACAAATCAAATTTTTATATTAAATTTGAAAGTGTTTTGAAATTTAAGTTGGATATATTTAATAAAATAAGATCACTATTATTGAATATGCTGTCTGGAAACTATTGTTATGATAAATTTTTATCTGTTAAGCATTAGATACATTACATTTTTGTAACAATTTTGAAATAAATATTTAAATAAATAAAAATTGTTCATACTAAATCAAGGTAATAAATTACAGAGGAGTGAAGGAAAAAAAAATTGTAAAACTTCTAGCTAATTATGACAAGACTGGGAAGGGATTTCCTGTATTGAAGTTAATTTGTATTAGAAATAACTAATTATAATTTTTTTTAAATGCAATGAAAATATATTTCTTCATTAAATTTCTAATTGTGTGTTAAGTAGGATGTTGGATGTAAGAATATATATATATATATAGTCTAATTGTTTTGTGTTTTCATTACTTTAGATTTTTATACATTTTAGTACTTGTTATATTCTTATCGTCATATGTTAATTATTTCTAATTTTGTATATTAATATTATTATTGTAATTATTATACCATTATTCTATTCTATATACTCTATATAATATATAATTAAGTATATTATATATGTATATATTTTTACAGTGATATCAGAAATAATGAACGTTTTTGGAAATACAGTATCTAATACTGGAATATATTACTTAAACACAAACAAAGCACCTAAACTAACATATATTACCTTTGCTGGTTTAGGTGTTTTGTCTGTGTTTATATACAGTGTTTCAAAATGTGCAAATGTAACTTTTAAATTGCTGTAGGCACAAGCTATACAGTTACAAAAAAGTATTTTTAAAGGTATGGGATGTAATATTAGAATACATTAGAAAAAATTATGATAAAATGAAATAAAATAATAATTTGAACTGAACATAAAGTGCAAGAGTATAACTGAATATAAAACTAAAATTAAAAATTTGAATAAAATATCAAATTAATACAAATCAGAATGCTTTTTTATAATAAATTTCATAGTAATTCAATCAAAAATAACCTTACTAAAATAGTATGATTATTTTCAAGTAAAATTACCATTTGGTCCAGTAATTTTATAAAGTTAAAAATACACATTGCTTACCAAAACTATGGCTCCTAGGCCAAATCTGATCTGCAAATATATTTTTTGACATATCACATAAATGATGGAAATAAACCTACTTTTAATATATATATGAATATACAAAATTAGAATATGCATTTTAAAAATAAATTATAGAAATTTTTAAACAAGAAGAATTACTTTATATGATATGAATATATTGAGAAATCAAGACTATTATGTAGTATTAAATAAATTGCATGATGATTGAAATTGAGAAAATTTGCAGAAATAGACCTGAGCATGCAATAAAAGGCACTGATAAATTATTCATTAGTTTGATTTGTATTCAAAATAATATAAGTTTTATATGTTAAATTGAAACTGCTTAAAACAATATAAAGTTTGAATTATTGAAAAATCTAAAATACCATGAATTCAATATAAAAGGTGAAATTTCTATCCATTTGCATTAAAATATCATAATTGATTTTAAAATTATTTTAACACCATTAGGAAAGTATTTCAACATATATTAGATAATCATTGACTCAATTCATAATGTTCATACTGCCTAAAAATTTTATTGTGACATTTACAGTTTTATAAAAGTTGCTATAAATTCATAGATAAATTTTTAAAAATGAAATTACAATTTTTATGGTAATCTAAAAAATTGCTGTAAAATTTAAAAATTAGTTTTTTAATATAAAATTGATATTTAAACAATAATTATAATTGTCATCATCATAATTGTTATTTATCTTTGAAAACTGTTATGGAGAAATTTTTTGCAAATCTTAACATTAATGAATTGATAACTATTATATTGGATTCTATTGGTTTATTCTTAATCTAAGTTTGGCATTGTTAAAGAACATATTTTTTATTTAGTCAACTTTCTCCACATTTCTAGATATCCATCCAATAAAAATATTAATATTTATTGATTGGAATATATTAATCTTATTGATATCTTAATAGATTATACTATCATTTAAACTGAAAATTACCTGAGTTACATAAGTAATGGTGACTGTAGACCTTTACACAACTTGAATTTTACATGAGCAATTTACAAATTCGAAAGTGTAACTATATAATTAATAACTCAATACTGTATTTATTATTATATGTGTACTGTACATAAATTATTATTTTTTTCTATAAAAGAATTGTTTACAAGAAAGAGTGCATGGTACACTTGAGTATGTGCTTACAATTAGACTGAAAAGTAAAGGATTAGCAGAGCAATAAAGTAATAAATCAGTACAGTGCAAAAGAAAGAAAGGAAAAGAGAGAGTGAATGAATGAATGTTTGAAATGGAATAATTCTTTGTAAAATTACATGTTATTCTAATCAGATTTTTTTCTAATTTTTGAGATTTACATTTTACATAACTGCGAATTTATGTAAGTTGTGTGTTACATAATTCAGAGTATTACTGTACATAAAATACAGGTAAATTATTTATTCTTTCACTTTATAATGTTTGCTTATTAAAGCGCTTTATAGAAATTAATCTATTCAAATTGAGATATAATAATACAACTACAATAATATTAAATGATCACTAATGTTCAAGCAAAATTTATTTCCTAGAAATCAATAGCTGACATGATCAAATGCAGTTTTCCTCTAATTAATGATTTTGACATCTAATGAATTAATGGAAAACAATCCAAATTCTTTAAATAATACAGTAGATATAATANACATAAGTAATGGTGACTGTAGACCTTTACACAACTTGAATTTTACATGAGCAATTTACAAATTCGAAAGTGTAACTATATAATTAATAACTCAATACTGTATTTATTATTATATGTGTACTGTACATAAATTATTATTTTTTTCTATAAAAGAATTGTTTACAAGAAAGAGTGCATGGTACACTTGAGTATGTGCTTACAATTAGACTGAAAAGTAAAGGATTAGCAGAGCAATAAAGTAATAAATCAGTACAGTGCAAAAGAAAGAAAGGAAAAGAGAGAGTGAATGAATGAATGTTTGAAATGGAATAATTCTTTGTAAAATTACATGTTATTCTAATCAGATTTTTTTCTAATTTTTGAGATTTACATTTTACATAACTGCGAATTTATGTAAGTTGTGTGTTACATAATTCAGAGTATTACTGTACATAAAATACAGGTAAATTATTTATTCTTTCACTTTATAATGTTTGCTTATTAAAGCGCTTTATAGAAATTAATCTATTCAAATTGAGATATAATAATACAACTACAATAATATTAAATGATCACTAATGTTCAAGCAAAATTTATTTCCTAGAAATCAATAGCTGACATGATCAAATGCAGTTTTCCTCTAATTAATGATTTTGACATCTAATGAATTAATGGAAAACAATCCAAATTCTTTAAATAATACAGTAGATATAATAATAACTATTTTATTTACACTTACTCCAATAAAGTAGATTTTCTGTTCTATTTTTACAGCACTACATGTATTTTTTTCATTTTCTATAAATATTATTATAGCATATTTATATTTTATAAAATATATCAGTTTTCATTTTCATTATATTTTTTTTGATAACAGACAACTTTAAAATTTATTTTAATCAATAATAATAATTATAGATATCGGTAATCTTTTTATTACAAAAAATTTGAGTTCAAAATTCAGTTTATCATCAAAAAGTTCTACAGAAAAAAAATATTATGAGAAGACACTGAAGTATTATTAGTTACTCCATTATGAAGAATGTTAGGAAAGGTTGCATAGGAAGGAAAAAAAAAGAGAGAGAGCGAAAGGGAGATCTGCTCTGGCATCCTTTAAAGAAAAATCAAAAAGTGTAAATATAAACAAAATTTAATTTATACAGTTTACTATATTCCAGCAGTGTGCAGTGACAATTTTCATAAGGGACCAGATGTGAGAAAACCCATTTTTCATACATTATAACAATTATTTTATCACCCAGAAAAACTTATTTATTTGCACATTATTGACACATTAATTTCACTTTCCCGGCTCTGTTATATACTGTATAAGAGGAAAAGTATGGTCAAAAAATAACCCCTAAGATTTTTACATTTTTGGATTCAAGACGCCTTCAGATGTCAAGAAATGCAAAAAATTCAGGATTTTTTTCTGCATGTATGAATGTTAGTGTGTGTCAGGGAAATGTATGTTCACTCTTTTTGAAGCTTAGTGATTCCTTAGTGATTCCTATGCTTTTAGTTGAAAATTTCTGAAATTTTTCAGGAAAGTTTGTGTATTAGGAGGATTAATGGTATTAAATTTTGCAGGTTAAAAGTCAGCTGGGTGGGAAGATGGTATCTCCAGTAGGTCAAACTTAACGACGATTTTACTCATTAGCATTACAATTTTTTAATAAAACCCATCCCTATGCTCAAAATTAAGAATTTTGCCAATTTATAATAATTAAAAATATAAAAAATTTTTA